AGAGGATCAAGAGTTAAATGCAGTAGCTCAGTCTTAGAGAGCAAGTGATGAGACTGTGGTAGTGACAAATTCAAAAGGTGAGCCAAATGAGATGGAGAGAAAAGAGATATTAGATGGAAAAATGGCAGAAACTGAGAGATGTGTGTAGGTATCACTTACATGGAATAGTAGCTGAAGCCAGGGGACTGTGTGGGAAGCAGCAGAGATGTAAGAACTACACTTGTAAAGATAAAGGTTTTGGAATGCTAACAAACCATCTTTGGCTTAGTAATTATGAATGGGAGAAATCATCCACTAAAAATTTATTTTGTTCTTTAACTGATTAGAATTACTGAGATGCAGCTTATATTTCTTGCAAGTGTAGTTATCAAAAAATCTTAACCCAGAAATACTTCAGAAGCACTTTGTTGATCATAGTTGACACTTTCCTGTACTAAATTCAGCTGATTAATTAGAATTGTCATATGGCATTACTTTTGCCTGAATGGGTAAATATGTATCAATTACTTTAAGACTGACTTTACATGAATATTCAGTAGCATGCATATGAAAAAAAATTCTTCTGGCAAGTATTGCAATTAAAAAAAAATCAACCTTGTAACACCCACACATCGTATATAAAATCCTTCCAGACCTCAACTAATGTTAAATGATCTCTAACCATGCTGTGTTCGTTTCATACTTGATTTCTGTATTTCCTAAAGTTACAGCTCACTGTGAAAACTAGCACAAGCCCACATCATCTTTGAGGAGCATAGGGACATGCATCTGCAGATTTTCAAAACAGGGTATTCTAGGGTATTCCTTTGCATAAGTTTTCCCTAATTGACAAGGCAATGTGGGAAAAAAACCCCAACCCCCCAAAAACCAAACCAAAATCCCTCAGAAAACCCCAACCAACCAAACAATCCCCTCCCCCCAAAATGGTCCTGGTTCAGGCTTGCTCAGATTCCAGGGATATAAACACTCACAACAGCTCTAAAAAAAGTGAGCAGTGATATGAGTTTCAGTAGCAGCTGATAGCAGAGATCTGTTAAAATTGATCGTTCCCCTGTCAAAATATCAAGGAACTGGCCAATACATTCTGCAAAGTTGTCAGAGCAGATGATGTAACAGAGAAGCACAGCTATACATTACTCAGCAGCTTCCCTTCCTGCCACTAGAAGTCATCTGCTTCATCTGTGCTGTGACCTGTTGGGGGCACTCAGGTATAGCAGCAGATTGCTTGCTCTCCTGTTATTTGTTTTCCCTTCCAGCCTTCAGATGTAGCTGCTATTTTATTCATGAATCACAATATTCCATTTAAACAATTAAACAAGGTTTTTTTTTTATCACTTTGGGGACAAGAGGGAAGTTTCTCATAGAGTCATTAGGGAGACTCCATAACAGTTCCCTGCAAGTCATCTTGCAATGCTGGGATATTGTGGTGTTTATGCTTGGAGTGTTTTCTCTGCTGCTTCTGGCACTGGCTTGTAGAGTTACCTGCCTTCCACTGTATTTGAACAGAGCTCATATTTGGTGCATTTTTAGCATATATTTGTAAGCAGCTTGTACTATCACCACTTGTAGAAACATTTACTTGCAGACAGCCAGCCTGGCAGGGCAAATGGCTACTGCAGGAGACTTTCTTATATTGTGCTATTTTTCAACAGCTCCCCACTTACAAAATCTTTCAATCTGATTCTGGCTATATCTCAATACTTAAGAAAGGGAGGAGTTAGCCAGGAGATTGGGCTGCACCCATTAAGCTAGGGGAAATAGATGGATTATGAAAACTGAGAGCAAACTGCAAGAGAAAGCTCAGCAGAGCTTTGGGCAATTAGAAGCTTCAGGCTTCACCCTTCATCTGGGACTCCATGTGAAGGAGACTTTTTTGTCTTGTACACACCTTAGTGGACTGGGAGAGTCTGTGACAAGGGGGTTCAAAAGAAACCAGACAAAGCTGCTTCTGGAGACTCTTCCTGGATCAGACTCTCTGGCACCATCTCAAAGAGTCAAGTATCAAGTGGGACAGCAATCTGTAGCTACATTTGTGTTGTATTTTCAGCCAATTACTCTGGAAGCTGGTTTTATGTGATAGGTTAGGTATCCACAATGCATATTATGTACCAGGGAAGCTTGTACTCTTCTATTTCAGCATGCAGACTACGATTGCATCTTTCCATAAAGTCCAAAGCTGATTCCCTCTTTAAAAACTATCTTATTGCCAGTGGCTAAACCTTAAAAGATAGACTTTCCACCTAGAATAAATTTCCCATAATGTACGTTCCTAACAGAATAGAAGACATGGAAATTTTACATGTCCGGGAGACTACCAAGTTTGATTATTTGAACAGGAGCCTTATTATTATACAACTCCTTTAAGAATATATTAATCATCAACTCTTCACACTTCTATTTCTCAGCATTAGTTTTTCATTAATGCTTACATTTATTTAAAGATATTTCAGATAGTCGGGCAGACACATGTTTTCAAGAGGTTTGATCCTGAAAGCTACTCAAACCCTTTCTTTCCTAATGACATTGACAAATGTTAGATTGGTATTTACATTTATAGGAGCATTTATATGGTCAGTTTATTTATATTTTTATTTACAGGAAGCAAATGCTCAGTGAAGAAAAGAGGGACACCAGGGGTTTCTTTGCTTAAACTCTGAGAAATAGGAGAAATGCAACATAGGAAACATGCTGGTGCTGGGGGAGTGGTGGAATGGAAAGAGGCTGGGAATATTTTGTCTTCCACTACTGAGAAGTATAATAGGATCTAAAGTCTGCAAGTGATTTGTAAACAAAGAATAGATGCTTTTCTAGGCAATATACTGCAGTTTAAACAAGAATTAATCCAAAAAAGTCATGTAATGTGTATTCTAAAGTAGATCAGTACAGATTATCACAATAGTCCATTCTGCTTTTATAATCTGGCCTTAAATACATAAGCACTTTAAAAATAAATCAAGATTGGGTATGAAGCAGGAACATGTCCCTATTTTTATTTGGCTATTGATTGGAATGGAAGGAAATATATAACAGTTTATAATACTGAAATTGCAAAGAGTCTGAATAAAAAAGTCTTATAACTTACTATTAATTTTTTCTATCTAGTAGGCATAACAGAAAAATAAACATCGTAGATATTTTTAAAAAGCAAATATCTAACTAAATAAATATAAGAAATAAATAGATAGTCACATGAATAAGAACTTTGCCTGTAATTCCTTCCTATCTTCACTTAGATCTAGTTTAATTTTTTTTTCTTTTGGTTTTGCACCAATTTATTTCCTGACTATCAAAGTGTGTGCTAACTTCAAAAAAAAGCTCCTGTGGTCTTCAGTAGACTCATGATAACAATGCTTTTGTATGACAGAATATATTTGCAACAATCCTTATAAATGTATGGGCTAATGGAATAATTCAAGCCTCATGACAATGATCACTATTTGCAAAGAAAGTCCATCAGTTAAATATTGCCCTGTCAGTGATCATTAGTCAAGCTAAGGTCCACAGCTCCATTCTAGGGCTTTTCCAGGGGAGCTGTCAGATCTGTCTGATTCAGTCCTCTCTCTCACACTTGCAGCCTTTTGGTTTAGCTGTTCCTTACTTTTCCTTCAAATTTCTCCTTTTGTCCAACTCTTCCTAGACTGCTTAGCTTCACCTCTTCACACAGCTTAAGTGCAGATCTTTCTTTATTTACCAGTCTCTTCAGCAAGCTTCTGTATTTGGTCATTCCCTTCCAGCCCTTGGTCTTTGTCAGACCCTTATCATTCTGGAGCCTTGTCAGGCTCCTTGTCAGACCCTTATCATTCTGGTTTCTACTCCCAACCCCTTCAATGAAACAACCCCATCTCTTCATTCTACCCAAGCTTCATCTCACTCTGCCCTCCTTTCGTCAGGTAGCTCTAATCAGTCTCTTGAGCCCATCAATCCTGGTTGTAACTTCTTTTATTTCCTCTTCCTAAGTCCTCAGTCTCACCAGATTCCTGCTTCCAGTATCTTTTGCTAAGGAAAAGCTGAGCTCCTGAGAAACAAGACTTGTGACTCTCTATAAAAGCTGAAGTGAGGGGCTGGTGGAGGAAAATTGGAAGTCCAGAAATTGTAACAGCAGCCACAATTGTAATAAAAAAAGGGAGAATGACAGAGAAAGGAGAAGCAACAGAGTGTTCTTGTCAATACAATCTAATTTAAAAATGATGAAACAAGACTTTGAATTAACACCTCAGGAGTTGCTCCTACCTTTGTCACAGTGCTCATACACCCCTGTGCAAGTCCCTTGGTGTCAAGTTCATTAAAAGATGTGGATAGTGTCATGTACAACACACTAATGCTGGGCTTTCAGCCCCTGGGTCCCTAGCACCTGCCGCTCTGTGTCATGCACTCAGGCTTTGTAAGCACTACCTTAGGAGGGATACTTCAGAGAAAATGACAACTTGAATTTCAGAAGAATTGAGCGTATGAAAATTCAACTTGTCTCTCAAAATTTAAGGCCATTTCTCAATACCTCTGTATGTTCATTTCATTATTGGCAAAATAATATCAGACCTTCTTGTGAGTGTTGCAAAGAATACTTCATTTATGCTTTCCTAAGATCCCTCTACAGAAATAGTTTTCTGAGTGCAAAGCACAGCTATAATTATGAGAAACACTCTTTGAAAAGAGAAAAAAGGACACACAAAGGGATGGATATATCATGAGTAGCTGTAAGTAGCAGTCCTGTAGTCAGATTGTTTGTCTGTCTGCTGCTTTAGAGAGTTTGTTTACTGCTGTAGTCAAAAGCTGAAAAACTGTGGCAGGTAGCAGATGTACCAATTAATAACCTGTCAAGGCTGATGGATAGAATGAAAAAAACCCCAACTCTCACATATAACTCTTGTGTGGTTTTCCCCCACATTTCAGGTCTTTTGGGGTCATGAGATACACTCTGTTTCCCCGGAGAGAGATGAAACTGTCTCATTAGCGTCTATCTTTCATGACATTAAGATGCTGCCTTTGAGATGCTAACTCACCTGTTCTTCTCCTAGAATCCTGAAGTGATGAAGTTCTTTAATCAAGGAATCTGGACAGCCAGCTGTTGGAAAGAAACAAAAATAGGTGTTTTAGAGCTTCCTGTTAGTGCAGTTTCAGCATAAGACACATAGATGCAGAGATGATAGAATATACAGATTACCTTAGATAAAGAAGATTAGAAAGATTAGCCATGGCTCTGCAGGCACCAGAATACTGAAAACCATCTATCAAATAATCTCTCCACATTTCTGAGCATGCTACCAAGAACACTTAGAAAGGTTATATTCCAAATATTTTAGCCCTTTCCCCAAAGGACTACAAACAAAAGCAAGATGAAAAAGGCAGCACTGTCTGCCAGATACTGCCAACCCTTTGTATAAGCCAAAAAGCCTGTTAAAAGAGGATCTCACATCAAAACATTGGAGCTGCCCAAAGCTGAATTCTGATTCACACAACAGGTTTGGACTTATCTCTAAGAATAATACATGCTTTCCCTGATTCCCTGAAGGATTTAATAGGCCTCACAGATCACTTAATTTTGGCTGTCACAAGTATAACCCATTTCACATATATATGGCTGTTTCCCCCCGGTGTTAACACACAAACCCAGAACACAGGCAGAGGAGTGATTTACCAGAATTTTGCAATGAGGCTGATTTTCAATCACTACAAACTTTCATATCTGAACCAGACAGTAAGAAAGAATATGTCTTGCTAGCTGCCATGCACTTTAGTCACCTGCTCAGACTGTGGCTCCCTTCCTGGCAATGAGGTCCAAGGCTGCTGTACACTACTTTTGTAAATGACTTTTGTGCACTACCAGACTAATTCCTGACAAGGGATGAAAAAGCAGACTGTGAGAGCTATCTGGGCTTTACTCTTTTTACCATAAATTGGAGCATCTCTTTGTGAACAGAGAAAATTCCTTAAAAGTAATTAAGAGCACAATTCCTCTCAGAAAATGGGAGAAACCATGGTCTTTATCAACCTGGTTTTCTGCTGAAGCTACTACAAATAGTTACCTTTCACTCTTAATGACTGCCATTAAAAGAATACAAATGAATTTGGACATAACTATCAGGAAGTCTCCACCAGCACCATGGTTTTACTCAAGGCCAATGAGACATGGCCTACCCTCACACTTTCTGTTGGCATAGCTGTCTTAAGGATGCAGAAGGAAAAGACTACATTCGAAAGCAACACAACTAAAAAGGCAAAAAATGAACAATAGACATGTTCTAACAATAACAAGAACAAAAGACATTGTCATACTCAAAAAATTAGCAATTACACTAGTACAAGTCTTGTATTCACATAATTTTTCCACTTAGGGAACTGATTTAAATGTTACTCAAGTCAACCTTTTACTGGTAAATGTTTTATCTTCATTCCAGGGAGGGATAGGTGAAAAAGGCACCATCTACACAACTTTATCAGCAAACCCTTACAAAGGTAAGACAAGGTTTGAAGTTGGCCCAGGTTTAAGCATACAGTAAGAATTGCCTATTAATGAATTGTCTCTTACTAAATATTAGTATTTATTCCCATTTAATGAAACCTATGATATTCTTACAAGCTTCTTTTCACCCACCTCTTCCTCATGCACAAGGGTATTCTCATATTTGAACATGTGTTTTAGCTCTAAGTGATCATTTCTTAATCAGATTTTATTCTCCTCAAATTCTAGAACCACAACCTGTGTATTACTTTTAAACTTCTTTTCTCATTTTCTCCATGCTGTTTATTCTTTCTCTTTCTCAATGCACTTAATTGTCCTTGGTACTCCTACCACATAATCACTGCTATGCAGCACTTTTTAGTATTTTCACTGGGATCTACATCTCCATGCAACTCTGTCTCACTAACTCCTTGACCTGAGTTGTAGTCCAGAACTGTTGTCTTCTCTGTGCTTCAAATCAAAACTTGTATAAAACATGGCTCCTCTCTCTTAGGCTCAAGTTCTCACATAATTAGCAATATATTTTCTTACACATGATTTTCCCTGAAAATATCTGCATTGATTGCATACTGCCATAGGAATTTCTAAGTGCAGAGGATAATTATGATTTCATGTAATGCTGCCTGTTAATCTTTGACAGATGTTAGCTTTAGAACATCAACTAAACTGCATTCTGCCTTTTGGAGTCCTTACAGATTCTACTTCAATCAAGTATTTCTTTCTTCCCTCCTATCCTTTCCAATTTATTATTCACTAAACTCCTTAAAATTAGAAGGTTTCCTTTTCCTTTCCTAGCAAGAACTTTTTCTCTTGATTCTCCTTGAAAGAAAGATGGGGACAAACTATTTAGCACGGTCTATGGTAAAAGTACATGGGGCAATGGTTTTAAATTGCAGAAGGATTGATTTAGATTAGATATAAGAAATAAGTGTTGTTGTGGTGAAACTCTGGAATGGGTTGTCCCATTCCAGGTAAGGCTGGCCAGGGCTCTGAAAAACCTGACCTAGTTGAAGGTGTTGCTGCTTATTGTAGGGGGGCTGGAGTAGATAATATTTAAATGTCCCTTCCAACTCAAGCTGTTCTACCATTCTATGAAAACATGCATGTTTAGGTGTTACTAGTCATCCACTGCTGCATCTTCTTCCAAATGCAATATTTTGTATAGTCTGTTTTTCAGAGACTTGCCCAACCTAGTTTTAAATCTTTTCATAGTTCAGATTTTCACTGGATCTTCCTTAGCTGATTATACAACAGATCCTGGCGTTACTAGCAAAGAGAGAGAGCTTAAAACCTATGTCACTGTTGGCATGATCCTTTCCAGCAATGAGTTCAGAAATGTCAAATGCTACAATATTGAATTACACTGACACATCTTAAAAGTCTGTTGTCTGTAAGAAGTCGTCTCAGATTGTCACAGTTCAGAAGCAATATTTCAGAAAAAAAAGAAGAAATCTTCCTTTTTTTTTTTCTTTTTAAATATTTCTGGGCATATTTTCAATGTTTCCTGTTTCTATTTTTAATTTCTTCTTTTCTGTAAGTGGACCTTTGTAAAACATGTTTTAACACTGTAACCTCTTTTTACCAAATATCTCTGAGTTTTGAAAAAGTCTTAGATTATGTTAAATTCCTGCACTGTGACTAGAGACAAAGGTTATGGCAAATAACCATCCCACAAATAAAACATAAAGAGATTTAAAAAAATCCCTCCCTGCTCAAAATGATTAATAACTAGTTTTTATCTCAGACACAAATTCCTCCATATACCCACCAACATATTAGTGTACATGAAAACACACATGGAACCCTGATAATTATTGGTAGTTAAGCACAGCACCTGATGGCTTCACTGGCAAACTGTACACACCAAACATTTACAGAAAAGTGCATTTTCTAGGTCTTTGATGTAAAACTAGCACATGTCAAATGACATAAATAAACTGTGCCTTACAGATTTCTGCTATTTTCTATAGAATGCATTGAGGATTAGTTTTTATGCCCTCTGTCCTACAGAACCTGTTAATGGTCTCAACAATTACCAACATTTTTTACTTCCCTTTTCCCAATTATTACTTGAAAAGTACAAGCCTTCATGAAATTTCCACAGACATAATCCAAACAACACGAATATTAAAAAAAATAATCAATAATTATTACACCTAGGAGTGTTGAAAGGAAACAGTGCAAATGCATGGACAACTGGATTCAATCACAAGCCAAAACTCAGGATTGAGGACACCTGCAGACTGATAAAATGGCAGCTAAATGGCTTATCTGTTGCCTCTTTCAGCTCACAGTCAAACCTACGTGTTTCCTATGTTCTCAGCCGCTGTGACTGTTACAGGTTCTTGCTAACTATGAAGGTAGAGCAAGATATAAGAAATATAAAACTGATGCACATATTTAATACTTTTATATCGCTTTTAACTCTGTCATAGTTCCATGACCTTAGAGCAATCAGATACATAAAACTAATTTGATGTTTTAGGAATGAGCCTAAGTCTAAGCAGGAAAATAATGAAGGGATGATGCCCAGTTCAAAGGACCAGCAGCTTTATAAAGTCACAAGTAATTTCTTTGTCTCTATTGAAAGTTTTATTACTTAAATTTCAGCATTTTATTTGCTTCAACACATTCCATCATACAACAGTTTACTCATTTGAATAATTTTGTTGTTACTTGATTCCCATATTGCTTTATAATTTAACTCCAAATGCTGTACTTAGGAATGAAAGGTGCATTTAAAGATACAGAAATGTGTAACTGTAAACTTGCAATTTACATTGTGGTATTTTCTTCATAAACATATCTTTAATCTGTTCATATAAGTACTATCTCCAAAAGAAGAATAAAGAAGCAAGATCTAGGAGAAATGGATTGATGTCTCCTATCATCATAAATACCCTGATTTCAATTGGTCTGAACACACACTTTCAACTACACTTGTAATTAAACTATGATTCTAACTACTACCAATTTAATTACCCAAATCTTCACATATTTTTTCTCAGACAGAATTAGCTTCTGCTTTTTATTTTTTTTCTTTAAATTATCCCTCTGTATGACTTATGTTCTTCGGAGAGAAGGCAAAGGAAAAATTAAAGCCAGCCTTTAACGTTGCATAAAATAACAAAATGGAAGCAAAATATGACAGCTGCTACAAACGGAGCCACCTGAGAAGTAACGTGAGTGTTGATGCTCTGCCTGTCCCAGCTGGGACCCCATGTCAGCCCTGCCTCACCCACCTGTGGCTGGGCTGCTGTCCAGCTGATGGCCCCACAGCCCTGCCCTGCCCAGCCAGGGGCACTCCTGCAGCTCAGGGGTGCCCAGACCCCTCCATCCCCAGGGAGGTGCCCAGTGCCTGCAGCAGGGCTGTCCCATCGCTCCTCTCTGCCACTGCCTGGATGGAGGCGCCCTGGCTGAATCACTCAGGGGATCAAAGAAATTCACAAAACGCCCTCACTGACCACACTTACAACCAAATGTATTTCCACTGCAGGGCTGTGTGCTACGTCTTCTGCCATAGGTTTGCAGCACTATTTCATGCTTTGCATTTTGGATTTCATCTTTCCCCAAGCGGTATAGTTGTGTGAGATTCATTTCAA